ATGTATATCTAAACACTTATTGCACGTCCCCTACTTTCCTATAATGGAAAATTTATAGCGTTTTATTTTCTCAAAAAAAGTTCTGCCCTTTTATATGGGAACTCTTGCTTTGCGTTGCCCTGAAACCTGAGAAAATGTTGCGTTTTTTATATGAGAATGAAACAGAAAATATACTACTCCATCACAATTTATTTATAGAACTTAATAAAGCTGAATTATTCACTTGGCCTGTAAGTCTTTAACAATTTTAAAGCAAAACACTTATTTCTGATAGGGAAAATAATTGCATTTTTACAAGATTAAATTAAAAACCAACCATGCAACTCTCACCCTTACGTTTATTTGAGGGCAGAAAAGGCAGCACTTTCGCCGGATCAGAACGCAACCGGCTGAGAAAAGAACACGACGTCTTATGAAAGGGCTGAGAAAAAAACATGAAAATGTGACAGCGCTAACACAAGGCAGAATAAGTGCAGCCTTTTTTCGAGAAAAGAAAACGCTATTAGAAACCGCGATAAATGTGCTTCTTCGGTGACTAATGAAACCATTCCGCCCAATTTTCAAGACTGCATAAATGAACTTAAAATGGGCATTTCCCCCCCTAATTTTATTATGTTAATGTGTGTAATCTTTGACAATACGTGTTTGACTTCATTCACCACGATCTTGAAAACTGACCAAATCGGCGTGACCAAGTCCATGGTCCTTTTAATATTATATAAACATCCGAAAACATTAAAACGTTTGAAATAGATCTCGTCTCACANCTTGAATGGATCTCCAGTTTTTTTCTTAAAAAAAAAATATCTTAAATTCTATAAATAACCTTTAAATAAAAGAATCGTATTACAGAAAAGTGTGCCAGGGAGTGACTTTTTTCGTTCATGCTGAATGGAAAGCAATATCCTAGGATATGTAAAAGACTATTGCCTTTACCTACAGTCACTTTTACACATAATGTAATTAACTAAAATATTTATGTATATCTAAACACTTATTGCACGTCCCCTACTTTCCTATAATGGAAAATTTATAGCGTTTTATTTTCTCAAAAAAAGTTCTGCCCTTTTATATGGGAACTCTTGCTTTGCGTTGCCCTGAAACCTGAGAAAATGTTGCGTTTTTTATATGAGAATGAAACAGAAAATATACTACTCCATCACAATTTATTTATAGAACTTAATAAAGCTGAATTATTCACTTGGCCTGTAAGTCTTTAACAATTTTAAAGCAAAACACTTATTTCTGATAGGGAAAATAATTGCATTTTTACAAGATTAAATTAAAAACCAACCATGCAACTCTCACCCTTACGTTTATTTGAGGGCAGAAAAGGCAGCACTTTCGCCGGATCAGAACGCAACCGGCTGAGAAAAGAACACGACGTCTTATGAAAGGGCTGAGAAAAAAACATGAAAATGTGACAGCGCTAACACAAGGCAGAATAAGTGCAGCCTTTTTTCGAGAAAAGAAAACGCTATTAGAAACCGCGATAAATGTGCTTCTTCGGTGACTAATGAAACCATTCCGCCCAATTTTCAAGACTGCATAAATGAACTTAAAATGGGCATTTCCCCCCCTAATTTTATTATGTTAATGTGTGTAATCTTTGACAATACGTGTTTGACTTCATTCACCACGATCTTGAAAACTGACCAAATCGGCGTGACCAAGTCCATGGTCCTTTTAATATTATATAAACATCCGAAAACATTAAAACGTTTGAAATAGATCTCGTCTCACATTTTTGTATTTTTCACTTAGTTGCTGAAGTAATGAAGAATTGAAAATTCATAAGGGGAAATTATAGTTATCGTAAGTTGTATCTTAATATCTTAAAAACTTGTACACTTATTGAAAAATGATAAATGAACGTGAGGTTCTAAATTTAATAACCCTTAATTTGATAAATCGTCCTGTTTAAAACAATTAACGCATTCCATAGATATTACAAGCCAAAGTTTCATTTTTAATATTCATTCACTTTGATTCAATTGCGCGGGCTAAAGATAAGTTTTAAATTAATTTTTCGTGGCCAATAACAATTGGCTTAGACCTAAGACATCATAATATTACTATTACAATACGGTCAAATGCCTCTTATTTTTCCCCCTACAAAATCGACCCAGCCTAATGGGCATATCGCCGGGTCGTTACGTACCATTTGCGATAGTAGTCGAGTGTTGCTAGTTATCTCGAAAATAAGTTTCAGTTTAATAACAACAAATCTGAATATTGGAATGGCTTTTGCCTATAATTTACAATGCTTTTTTACAATTTACTGACGTTGTAAAAGAGTTTTGCATACAAGACATAGAGTGAGGTACTATTTTTTTGCGAATTCTTAGTCTTTCAAAGTTTTTGCGTAGTTGAAAAAATTAATTTAAGCCATGAGGAAATATAGATGAAGTCCTTAAAAAGTGGTACTTTTCCACAGTTTGAGAAAATATGTAATTTAGTTTTTTTTCAATACCACACAAACGAAGCAACTGAGAGGATCTTAAGTAAAAAGTGTGCTTCGCAAAGAGAGAAACCTGCTTTTAATTAAATATTTTTAAAGTGAACTTCATATTAAAAGTAGTTTTAGAATGAAATGTATAGAATTCTTGGACTATTTAAACACTAAATTAATTTAATATTAAAATATTGTTAAAAACAACTACTCTGATACTTACATTCATAATTTTGCTTTGAATAAATCCTAGCCAAGTTTTGAATTTGAAAACGCACTAAGAACCAAGAAAAATCTGGGTTTTTCTCGAAAAAAGCACCAAATTTTTATTGGAGTATTTAATGGAATTTGTATGCATGAAAAATTCTATTGTAGGGATGCCGATCCCAATTAAAAAAAAATCAATGTTTTTGCTCGAGGGTCAAATTTATTCTGTTTTCTATAAATTCAAGTATTTTCGTTCAAGCGACGTTAAGATTCTCGTTCTTATTTTCTAATTTGCAGCTGTGTCCAGCGTTGCCGTTTCGCTTAGATGTAAGCAAAATTGATTAATTTTTCCTGACTGTTAATGTCAAAATTTTCTTCGCTTTGCTTAATTTTTTCTACAATTCCTATCAAACCAGAATGAAGTTTAATGAACTTCATCTTGTGAACTAAAGGAACATAAAGAACTTTTCTTTCCGCCACTTAACACCTGAAATATAACGAAATTTGATTTTCTCTTTTAATGTGTCTTATTTGAGCGTATTATCGAAAAATATTTTTGTGTCAAAAAAACTGTCTACTCTTCCAATCCGACCCGATTTTGATTATTCTCTTTTTTCAAAAGGTTCATTAGATACTAATAAGTAGATACCGCTACTTTTTTGAATGGTCGTAAAAAATATAACAAATTCAGCCCAAACTAAAGGTCAAAAGCGTGATTCCTGGTCCCAGCAATGGGGAATTACCGAATCTAATTATGACATGATTGAAAGTGCTGCCACATATGTTGTTGGTAAACAAGTTTCTTACAAAACTTACGATTGCTATAAATTTTGTGTGGCGAATTGCGTAATTCGAAGGGTAATTGGAGTGCGAATTATGAGCGAACTACGTAATTGGGGTGGTGTGGGAAAGCCGTATTAAATATTATTGATTAAAACTAAAAGGCGTTTACACTGTTCCACTTTCACAGGCGGTTAGTTGAATCAAAAGTTTACATCATTCAACTGAAAGTTCAACAATGAATTTTTTTGAATTCTTTGAAAATTTCATCACTGTTTTAAAACTTGAAAAGGAAGACGAGGAGAACATTTGCGCTTAAAAGGAGGACAGAGAAGGACAATATTTTTTGAGGAAGACAAATCACGTTTAAGGAGGACAATCCTCCTCAAAGGTGGACGGTTGATCAGCTTACTATATATCCTCTTTTCAGATCATATTCGATCTTTGAAATCGAATCAAAAATAGTAATTCAAAAACTCATAAATCTACAAAATCTTATTTTCGGACCTAAATCCACAGGTTGTGGCCTCTAAATGACCTTTAAAAAATCTACAAAAATCGGCAATAACATTTCTCATAAAAACGAATAAAGCTAGGGGGTAGGGTCTTGAAACTTCCAAAAAAGCATTTTCGATGGGCACTCAATATACATATCGTTTTATTTAGCCTAATACTATTCTGAAAAAATTAAAAAGTCGAGAAAAAGAGGTTTAAGTTTTGAATTTACATATCGACACCTGAGTGGACGATCGACCTATCACGACATCCAGTTCGAAAACGCCCTATCTCAGAAATCTTTTCAAGTGCGCCCTATTTCAGAAGTTGGTTGAAGAACGCATTATCTCAGAATTTGATTGAAGAACGTCCTATCTCAGAATTCGGTTCAAAAACGCCCTATCTCAGCACATTTTCAATATATTTTCAGGTGAGATAGGGCGTTTTTGAACCGAATTATGAGATAGGGCGTCCTTAAACCAGATTCTAAAATAAGATGTTTTTCTCTTAAATCAAATTCTTAAGTAGGGCATTCTTGAAATATTTTCTGCCATAGATCTTCTACTCAGGTGTCGACATACTCCCATAGTAAAAAGAAATACATATTTTGTTTTAGTGAGCTGCAGGTAATCGGTACAGCTATGAAATGTTTCCGGTTCGATCGGAAGCCCCTGAATATCAAGGTTAAAAACACAATATGGCAACCTTTGTCCTAAATGAGTTTCTGCACTTTAAACTTTAGTAGTGAATTAATAAATGTTTAATAAAACACACCAGACATTAAGAAACAAACGGTTTAAAAGGTTAAAGACATTTGGGTGGTTCACAAGGTGTCGTACTTGTCGTATTGTTGTATGTTGTAAAAATTTTAACGGTTAAATAAATGTTTAGAGGAAATCACCACCAACTATCTTTTAATTGTGTGAAATTTCATGATAAAACTTTTATGTTAGCTTGCGAATTCCTCAAATATAGTTTTAGCCGTTTAAAGTTTATGACATACAACAGTACGACAGTATACAACTTGTGAACTCCCTATTTATTTATTATCTTTAAACTCACTCACGTATCATCGTCTGCTTTGACGAACCAATCGTAGTCATCATAATAACGCTCATACACATATCGAAATCCCTCGCGCGTCTTATTCCACAAATCGTCGTAAGTGTCCGCTTCACGTTCGACCACCGACACAGCGCCCAACTTCTCATCCACTTGGCTACTTAAGAATATCAACCGTGTACAACGTTTACCCCAAGTGGCTTTCACATGGCGCGCATGACTCGCATGCTGATCGGGCGATGTCAGCACCATACACAGGACTCGCACCTTCGTATTGAGGGGTTGCAGCGTCTCTGCCTCAGTCGCCACATCTTGCATGGCCATCATGTAACCTGTTTGCCAATATTCTGTGGCTGTGATTTGTTGGCGGTGCGTTACCGTTTCTATTTGATAGCAATTATAAAGAAGCAGAGTACAAAGCGCCATTAAGAAACCTAGCACAAATCCAAAAAGGATGTGCAGTTGCATGCGCAATGTTGAGCCCGTGGAACGGACATAAACGGCGTGCGGAGGCAGTAGGTTGGATTTCATGACACTTATGTTTAGGATTTCCGCACTTAATTGTTAGCTTTTTAGAAACGCATGGGGATATAACAGTTTGAATGACACAAACAACACTAATCAATGAGAGTGATTAACGCAAAATAAGACGTTCCATTTAATGGTCAACTTTAAAACATTACTTTCCTCGTTTAAACAGAACACTATTTCAAGCCTGCATGCCAATGCCAATGCGCACACGCTAAAACGTCATTTTGTGAAGTTTTCGTATTAATCGTTCTATTACGGGCATTCTCATCACCAGTCTTACTTGTCGCGCTTATGGATGATGACCGACTAAATGCTGGGCGTCAATTCGCCTGGTGCGGAACTTCGTGTATTATGAGTAACTACTGCACTGTGTTTTGTGATCATACACGCTTTGGAAAAACATAATAAATTCAAATTAAGGTATGTATGCATATACAGAAAGTGCAATAACATCCACGAAAATTGCGCCTTCGCTTTTTCGTCGTTTTTATACCCGAGCGCACTTGTGCACAAGGGTATTATAACATAACGGTTGTTTGTAACAGGCAAAACGAATCGAGATAGATATAGACAAATGTATACATAAATGATCAGAATGAAAAGAGAAATCGATTAAGCGGTGACTGTCTGTCCGTCCGTCCGTTAAAGAATTGTTGCAACCATCAATTTTGAATAAATTGGCTTCAATATTTACTGATTTATCGAAGATTTGGTATTTCTAGAAATTACCGTTATAT